AGAGAGAGAGAGAGAGAGAGAGAGAGAGAGAGAGAGAGACTCAAATTAAATAATGTTATTTGTTCTAACAAGTAAGATAATAATTTTAAAAGTTTAAACTATTATTGAATGTTACTTATTAAGGTGTTTCAGTGTAATACCAATTTTTGCTTACAGTGCAAAGCTACCAGGATGCTACATTCTGTCACACGTTGTCCTTTTTAATAAATACTTAATGTTTTAAAACAATTAAATTAACTATGTATATTATCTCAGTCAATTAAAATTATTATAATGGTCATAAAAATTGCAACAAGGCACCAGTGCAATACTTTAATCGTCAAAGTCACGAACAGAAAAACCCACATAAATTTTATGATATAAATAGCCGCACAGTTAGCTTAAACAATTCACAAACATTCTAACCTACATCAATAGTTATGAATTGTCTGACTGTATTGGCTTTGGCGCTATGTTTGGTGGCCGTACACTGTGTGCCCCAAAAAGTTGACTTATTCAATAAGGGCAGTCGTATTGTGAACGGCGTGCCGGCCACCCAAGAACAGGGTACTCACCAGTGCTCACTGCACGCCGAGGGTTGGTTTGGCAAGAGTCATATTTGCGGTTGCTCGCTTTATGGCAAAAATTATGCCATCACCGCTGCCCACTGTACCGATGGGTAAGTTGTTTATTTTATTGTGAATTAAATAGGTATTAATATGCTAAGATATTTATATAAAATAACATTATCAAATACATTTATATACATAGATTGTTAGAGACATATGTGATTCTATTATAACTAATAGAGAGTAACATAAAGTAATAGAAACAAAATAATAATATAACAATTATTAAAATCAGTAAAATAAATTTATAATTTATTAACTATTGATGAGTAAAAATGCTTACATTTAATTAATAATACACTATCATAATTAAAACCACATAGATCACAAGCGTCGAAACTGGAGGTGAGATATAATGGTCTTACCCTGAAGAGTTTGGCAGTTATAAACCAGGTGAAAGAGATCCGTCAGCACGAGAACTACGACACACCCACCGACAGTATCGACAACGACATCACTGTATTGGTGTTGACCACTGACATTGTCGAGGTGACCGGCCAAGTGAGCAAGGTCACGCTGGCCGACACGGTGCCCGCCGTGGGCGCCGACGCCCACCTGACCGGTTGGGGTAACACAAAGTCGGGTTCGGGCAGCTCTACGCCAACAGTGCTTCAGTACCAGAAGTTGCAGATCGTGTCCAACGAAGAGTGCGAAAAGATTTACAACCAATTGCCGCAGGACT